CCACGATCAGGCTGGAATGGGTAAAAAAAACACACACAGTTTTTGCATACTTATCTTGATGAGGTTCTTTAGAGAACACCAACCTACCACATGCTCAACAGCTGTCCGACTTAGCCCACATTTTATGTGGGTGTCTTTTCGCTTTGAAGAAGATTTTTCGAGCAATAACTTTTCAGGTTAAGTTTTGGGAAAATAACTCGAGTTAAGTGCGCCGACAGTGAATAGATGAATGTGCACTTGAAAAAAATGAACTTCGATAAACTTGTTTCGCTTCTTAAATTACAAATCGCTGTTCAAATTTCAATAACAAATACACTCGGTGGGGCGCCAACTTCTCGCTCGCTCGCGAGTTGTCGCAACCACATTTTAGGCATCAATTAAAAAGCTATAGCTAAATCTATAGACCAGTACACAATATATATTGATACTGACAGCAACAACAACAAGAACAACAACAAAATCAAGCAACATCAATAAATAAATAATTCAACGCGATGATCTCACAGCGACACACAGACAGAACGACAGTGGGGCAGACTGATAGACGAACGGCTGGACAGTTGTACGGCTGCTGATCGTTCTGGGCATTTGACAGGCAGATTTGAGAGATAGATAACGCCATTTAAGTATTGTGTGTGTACCCTATAAAAACTGAGTGAATGTGGTGTTATATACTGTGGAGTCAGTATCAGTAGTATTTTAATATATATATTCCCTAATCTACATGGTGAATCATAAGTTTCGCTAACATATGATTCAGAAATGTTTTGATTTACATCGATAATATCATAGAAAAATATTATATATATATTTATATATTGTCTTATCTTTTCATAACATCGTTTTTATGTCTTTAAATATAGTAGAAATACAAACAGTAAAAATTTTATTTCGATAAATAACGATTCTTTCTGCAAGATTTTTTTTTAGGGCTTATGTACATAAACCATTTATATAAAACTCAGAGCTCTGAAATAGTTAAATAAAGGGCAAATAAATTTTTATTTCAGACCGATAAATATCGATTAACAATCAGTATTTCAGTTTTTCCTCATAAACAACAGCTAAAAAAAAGTCCTAGACGTCATCTAAAACCATTAAAATTTGATTGACTATATGCATATAGGGCATTAGATAGTCGTTCAGTGTCACCTTGATAACTAATTTATATAGTCATTTCTAACATTGTTTGCATGCTTGATTCCTTTCATTTTCGTTTTCATGTAGCATTGAGTATTGGAATTGTATGTCTGTCAATAAAAAGCATAATCACATAATCACATTCATATTCAAATGATGAAAACCAACTTTTTGGCACTGAATTGTGGCTTCCATGGCGATGGGAGAGGGGTATGAACCTTGTGTTGACACAGTAACTGATATTCAACGGTATTTTCGCCAATAGCATTCGCATGACTATTAAATATGCATTAAAAGGCAACTCTTGACTCTTGGTTGACCTCAAAATTGTAAGCTATTTGTACCTTAATGAAAAGCCCAATAAAATTGTAACGCAAAAAGGCAACCAGGCAACGAGCCAATCAATAATTTTATAGATACTATATACATATTTATGTAGGTATGTCTATGCATATACTAGTATATGGCATGTCAATTAGCATACAGTTGACATGTCATGTCAAACAGTTTATAAATTTATTAAGAGCGCCCCAAAGTATCGTGTGCCGATATCTAACCCATAACACTCAATCACAAAACTCCCATGTTGTGCATTCGAAGCTCCAAGTTTTTAAGCTGATAAACTAAAGCAAAGAAGAACCAGAAACTAAACAAAATGGCCAAAACACGCAATCTAAACATATTGGCAGAGTACCGTTGACGTTAACAACCGAATTCTCCTACTATGTATAAGGTATATATATACATACATATATATTTATATATGTATATACATAGCTGTCTTATATCTATAGTTAAAAGCAAGAAATGCACGCTAACTTTATTTATGCCAACTAATTGTCACATTAAATTGACTAACGAAATAAACGGGTTTACTAAAGTTAAGCCACGACCTGTAGATACTCCAATTTTTCTGATGTTCTTTTGGAGTCTTGGTATCAGCTATTAACGTTTTTGAACTTTGAGTTTTACGATAAGAATAAATGATATAAGATATCTAAAACAAACAATGATAAACTTGGAACTGCGTATGACATGACTTCATATTTGGTTGTTTGATATGCGGCATAAATATAAACAATATATTTATCTCAAAATGAACTTGATCTCTGTAAAGAGCCCACCTGTAAATCTTTAGTTCACCTGTGCCATGCTACTTGAATTTGTGTAATGTTTCCGTATTTTATTTAATAGAAATTTAATTATATCTTATAAATAAATATAATCCCTGGTACATTTTCAGCTAGAAAATTACTAATTTTGTAATCTATAGAAAACGATTTAGTGATTTGACTTATTTAATATACGATTCACATAGATAACGCAATATTTATATTTATATTAACAATCAATTTATAGCTTAATCGCTGCAGGCTAAACAAAAAAAAATAGCAAAATGACCCAATTCAACTGCAAACATTGAAAGTGACAAATCAAATGCCACACCTACTCTATACATATATTAAAAGACATATATATATATATATAGTTACGCTTAACTAGAACTGTATATACATAAGATAGATTTGTGTAGACAGACCAGTTGGTGAGACAATTAGACACTTAATTGTTTGTTATGCTTAACATAATAACGGAGCAATAGGAGGTCACATAATAACCGAAAAGCCAGAGACCCAAAGCTGGTAAACCCAACAGCCATACAGCCAACAACCCGCATACCCCAGCCACCCATCTTTTGGGTGGTTGCTTCGAGTGGTTTTTGGCTGCCAATGAATTGTGTGTGTGGGGACACGGGAAAAAAGAGGTAACAGCCAGTTGCTGCTGCCAACACAGTTGAGGGTAAATATACATAACAAACGCACTGTATGCGCGTTTTTATATACCTACATATAAATAATGTATAAACTGACAAGTCAAAAGTTTTAGCATATACTATATAACGAGCCGATAGGCTAAAGTGCCAGCAGCAACAGCAGCGGATGATGATGTCATTTTGGGCAAAAAAAATTTATTGATTGTCTTGGCAATAATTTATTTAGTAAACACACACACACACCCATAAACAGCCGGACATGCCCCAAAAACCACAGAAGTAATTCCACAAATTGACCTTGACATTCAATGACCAGCCGCAGTTTGAGATCTCATCTGATCGAAGCAATAACGAATAATGACAGCTCATGATTAGAATCAATACAACGAAAGTGTGCTAAAGATAATATTAATATGTGTCAATATTGAATGCTATTAAGTACTAACTTGCTAATGGCGGCATATAGAAATTAAGCATTAGCTAAATATAATTTCTAGAATCTAGCTTTAATAATTTTGAATATTGTAAGAATTTTTTTTTTATCGAATTTAGAAAAAAGCTAAAATGATTTTGACTAAATTATTTCAATATTTATTTTTATTTTATTTATTTTTATTTATAGAAATTGACTAAAAAACCTTTAAAGCTAATTTTCATTAGAAAAAAATTCTAGATACATTTTTTTTCCGAATTCAAAAATTCTTGCAAGAAAGTTGTTCTCTAAGGTTTGCCAAGTTAATTTTACTAACAAAAAAGATTTTTGCATCTATATCGTATTCTATGCTAATGATCAAAATAATATCTCAAATAAATATATGTCAAAACGTTTTGCACTAAACGTTTATTAATTCAGAGAGATGAGGCAACAAAATTAATTTTTTTCTATTGCCTACAAATGAGACGTTCGTATAGCTAATTCGTCATTTCATTTGAGACGTTCGTATAGCCAAAACCGGCATTCCATTTGATATTTTATTATCATTCTAAACAGTTGTCAGTCAATTGCGCTCGATGAAATCTATAAAATTAAACATTTGGTTGGTATTTTATATTTAGATGCGTTCGGCGAGTTATCTATATAAAACTAATTGCTAAAAATTTAAACAAAAGGCGGAAATAACTAGATAAAAAATATATCAAGAAATCTTCCGTCATTTTTAAGATGATTAATTCAACGAGATTTCATTTGTCATTTAAATCCACTTCAATTGGTGAAACATGGGTGAATCTAAAAAAATATAAGTAAACACTTTATCCTCACAAAGTTGACTGACAAATAATTGATATTTCTATTTACTAACAAAATATATTAATACCTGCCCAAGTAAGCTTTACTAATACCAAATGGGAAGCTAAACTGTGTGAACAAATGAAATATCTTTGTACCTTGCGCTGCAGCCTATGCTAGCTTATCTGTATATATAATATGTATATATGCTCTCCTCTATTATATATTGCGAAAAAATAGAATTCGCAAATTAATTATTATATAACAAAAATTGCTGAAGCGATAACAAAACAGAAACCAAATTATTTGTCTACCAAATCGTGCGATATGAAAGATTAAGAGCTACAAAAATTTAATCGAGTCAGGCTAATAGAATGAGTACAGCTGATATGTCAAGTAAAGATCGATTACTTGATAGTATAGGAGCGAGAAGATAATGTCAAATGATACTGCAATGCGGAATTGAAGAATACAAAAATAATCGGTCAAAATGAACTAGATATATTTGCATATGAATACGATCGAATTCACAAATTCGATTCGAGTTGAATTTTAAGAATAATTTTTGGAAACTTGAACCAAAAACTGGTATTCTAAAACAAAGCGATTGAATCGGGTCGATTGAATTGTAATATATATTTTAGTTTTGTTTTACATGAACCAGAAGAGTCGGTTCAGCTAAATTACAAAATATTTTTTGATGTGGCCAAAAATAAACTATAAATACTTTGAATTAAAGGAACTTTTGCATAAATATTTCATCCGAATTTTGTGTACTTAGATCTTTAAACAGAACACTCTATATCTTGACTTCAACCACATTTGTTGCAACGAATTAAGCTCTTTGGATAATTTTACCTCGTTTCTCCTTGATGTGGCTGTCGTACTGGGAATTACTGCGTGCGAAATTGATCGACGCCATGGTGGATTGGAACTCCTGGTACTCGTGTTCGGGTTCGTTGATGTGGGTGCTACGGTTACTTTGTTGCGCTTGAGTCTGATAATCCTGACGCAGACTCTTGCTAAAAGTACCGATGCCGCTCAATGCATGCGCCGACGAGGGCGTTGTTGAGCGCGTGGGCGTGGACACAATCACAAGACTGCTGGCCGGCACGCCCTCAGTATCGGAATCGTTATCGATGACGTCGACGTTCGCGTCGTCGCTGATGCGTATCTGCGAGGCGGTAAACGAGATATTGCCAGCGTTACTCGGACTCGCATTCGAGTCAATAAAACCGATTGATTTACGCGACGTTGAGGACGTGGAGGACCGCTCGGACCGTTCAGATTGTGTGGTCGTTGTCGTTGTGCTGGTTATCGTTTTGTGGCTAACAATTTTTCGGGATTCTTCCGTCGAAGAACCGCGCAATTGGCACGTTGCAGCTGGACTAAACACCTCGTCCGGCGTTACTGTTTGCGGTTGCTCCTTCGTGCCAATCGGCGTGGATGTTAGCAGTGTTTTTGTTGTTGATTTTCCCGTTTGCCATGACAGTTCGCTGGGACGGCTTGCTCGTTGCCGTTGCTGTTGCTCCTGGTGCTGTTGTGGCGTTTCGTTGCCACCCACTTGGTACGTTGTTTGTTGGTACAAACGCTGACGCCGGCGTGGGTTGCTACCCACGGTAATGTCAATGTTACCCGTTGCCATAGCATCCTCGTCGTGTCCACCAAATTGACGAATGCGTGCACGGACTGAACCATCAGTTTCATCGTGTTGCTCGCCCTGTTCACCGCCGGCTAGCGGTGACTCCAGCTCATCCTCCAATTTAATTAATATACGTCGGCCACCCGCGGTCATATCGACGCTGTGCGGCGAAGTGACACTCGAACGCTCGCTGGACACACTGGAACGTGACCAGGAGGGTGAATCTCGCGGCGAGACGTAACCCTCGCCATGGCGATAGATTTTCTCTTCGGCATAGCCACCATCACTGGTCCTCGAGGAGGTAATGATGGTGCGAACGCCATCCACCGCTGGCACTTCGCGCACCGTGCGCTCGCCGTCCAGAAAACGCTCCAGCTCCATTTGACGAGACAAATCCTTTTTCACAGTGCGTCGCGTGGTGCGCAAGGTGACATTGAAAGGTGACAGCTGATCCTCCACATTGCCCACCTCAGCGCCCGGACTTATGCGGCTGGTGGTCTTCAAGGTGACATTGAACGGACTGGCCGTGTGCTCGCTGGTCACTTCGACACGTCGCGGAGTCGTGTGACGCAGGTGCACCTGCTGGAAAGCCAGCTTGGCTGCCTCCGCTTCGGCCAGGCCACGTTGTCGCTCCTCACGCAAACGTCGCTCTATTTCATGCACATCGATATCGAAGGGATTCTCTTCGTCGTAATCGTCCATTTGCTGCTGCCGCAGTTCATCTGTGCCCAGGTCGGCCGGGCGTTTGCCAGTGCCATCGGACCACACCTTCTCGTATTGGGCCACCTTCTGGCGGAGGCGTTGCGGCGGTGTCCCCAATTGTAGATCGCTGGTACTGCTGGAGGTGGTCAGTGACGTGGTAATGGTCTTCATATACGTACGCGTCACTGTGGACGTCTCCAGCTGTTTGGTTGCCGAAGTCTCTTCCTGCTGTTCGACATTCTCTGTGGTTTTCTGCTCATGCGCATGGCGCCGTCGAACAGCTGGTATTGGGGGCACGTCCTTTCCCACATCTATGCTCGCGCCGGCATCTATGGTTGGATCCTTATGCCTGCCTGGATCTGTGCTATCGGCCATGATAGCATCGGTTTTCTAATACGCTTGTCGTTAGGCCAAAATGTCATTTGGGTTCGCTAGCCACAGCCTTGTCCTTTTGTCCTGCTTCGCTAATGCCGCCTCGCTTGGCAGCCCAAATGCAAAATTGATTTTTCTCACGCAACGCAGCTACAACAACAACAACAATATTAATAACATCAGCTTTTCCACTGAGTTTTCCTTGCTCGGGAACAACCCCCGTGGGCCCTTCACTTTTTTTTTTTTTTGTCACTTATGGCCCGCTCGTAATTCAACTGTAATTTGTTAAAAGCACACCACACACAATTTTTAATCACCGAAGCTTTTTAGATTTTAGATTTTAGATTTTCGGTTTTTTCTTTTTCTTTCTTCTTTTGGTTTTATGACACAATTTAATATCACATACAACGACGGTGTCGTTAGATAAAAAACACGTATTTCATTCGTATATGCCTGAGACGCAAATTTGATTTAATTTAGTTTTCGGCATAAATTCTATAGTCCACTTCTCCACACAATTAAACACTGACTAAAATGGCATGCCCTCGGCTAGCAGACAAAACATATTATAGTCGAGCTTCAGGTTTCCTTTGTTCCGTTTCCAATCCGTTGTTGTAGAAAGCCGGTTCGATACTGAGTCGTCGCCATCGTCAACGTGCTGCGCCTTGTCCAGAGACCAACAACAGCGGCAGAGCCACCAGCAGCAGCAGCAGCCCAGAGTACTGGCTGGACTATAGTAATCGTAGTAAAGCTCAAATTTCGATGAGAGAGCGTGAGCGTAACGAGAGCCGCTGCGCAAAATGTTTTTCGTTTTTTGTTGTTGAGAAGAAGAGAGCAAAACGTATACGAATGCGAGAGCACATTTATGTTATTTACGCACTGTGATGGATGTTTACCCACACCGTGTTTTCTGCTACGGCAGCACGTACTTCCACGGCTTGTGCTCTTAGAGCATAGGCGAAGTTAATGATTGTTTCAAAAGGATTATTCTATTATTATTATTATACAGTTTTATATTATTAAAGATGTACGAACTAATTTTTTTTTCTGGAGCCACGCTAGATTTATAAATTATATATTTATTCAAAAATTATTGACCCCCCAAATTATAATTCCACAGTTCATCAATATTCTATCTATATATTTCCTAACCCCCTAAGACTTCATGCATTGCTAAACAACGACGACACTGAAACTGCCCTACGACTATGAAAAATGCCGATACGCAGAAAGCTCTTCTATTTTTTTATTGGGCAGTAAAGGCTTGAATGAGCACTGTAACGTGCGCTCTCATTTACTTGCGCTCTCAATGCCACAAATCATTCACACGCTCTCACACATACGCTCGCTCTGTAACTCACTATCTCTCTCTGTCTATCTGTCTATACTCATGCATGCAGATGTATGTGTGCGAAGCTCAAGTACAATTTAACTTCTTATTGCGCTTTGCTTTGTTATTGTTGTTCCTTACGTCTTCTACCTGTGACATCATGAGCGTGAGAAAATACCAATTACACAGTGCTGGGTGGTTGTTTGTAACAAACATATAAACACAGAAATGAACTCACACGCATGCAAACATACGCTCAGAAAAATTTATAAGTACATATGTATGTATGTCTATTGGTATGTAATTCGACACTCGCTCGAATAGCGATTATAAAGTATTTGGCAAACATGTGCCGTTTATTTTTTCGAAGTGGCGCCTGCATGGCAAATGTGGGTCATCACATAATAAAGCTCAGCTAACAGCATTTAATGAAAGTCATTCATGAAAGCGCGATCGGCCGCCAGTCACAGAAACCAAAACAAATGTTTATTTTTTGAGCTTACATAATCGCCGTTTGTGTTTATCACATTCAAGCAAACACGTTTTTGGAGCCGCATATTGAGCTAGGCTAATGACGTCACGCTTTGGTGATTGCATTCCAGTTGGTTGTTGTTGTCAAATTAGAAGTTGACCTTAAGCCACAGCAAATTTGTTATGCCAGACAAATGTATATTTACAGAAAATAAATACAAATCAGTTTGTGCATTCATATGTATATAAGGTCAACTTATTTTTGCAATCAACTTTCATAAATACTTAAAAAGTTTAAAAACAAAACTCATCTATCAATTGTCACTCCCCTATCAGATGTTAACATCTAACGTCAATAATGTCGCTGCTAAGAAGATCCACATAAAGTGGATGGAGAAATTCTATATACTGTAGCGCTGCTCTCTAGGTACAAAGATCCCCATAAAAACAAACACTTAAATCTTTTTAACAACAACGTGCACATGAATTAATTGGATAAACAATCGTGGCTACAACATCTGGGCAGCACAACAACAACAGAAGAATAACAATAACAACAATGTAAATTATATTAGACAACGTAAAGCAGAGTGTGGCTGTAAAATGTTAAGTGGGCAACCGCACTGTGCCTATAAATAGCCAATGTTATTTTAATCAGAACAACAGCTGCTGTTAGCCTCTTAACAGAAGCTGTTAAGTTCACTTTATGGATGTAAAAAGATGCACTGTGTAATTCTGATATCTACGAGTGTTGTTGCATTTGTTTTAAAATACCCTATGCATTTCATTTCAAAATTATTTAATTGAATAAGCAAATTAATGATTTTATATTTACGATTTAAATATATGCATACAATTTATCTATATATGTATTTGTTGCTTATTAAAAACTTAAAATATTAAATTGAAAAATATCACTTAACAATAAAAATTTAATTTAAGAATTGGGATAGAGTCCTAAATTTGCTGGAAATAAAATATATTTATATATTCATTCTATTTATAGTTCACAATTGAGTTGAATAATATGTTGCTCTTGTTCGAAATGTATCAATTCGTAGACTTTATAACAAAACACTGAATATATTGATGATTTTATAAACATATTGAAATCCATTTCATTTCAGACGGATATATTTATCATCCATCAATCTGCATTTCTTTTTGCTTAAGTTTGAGCAAACAAAAAATTTTCGCATAAACATTTGTTTTCAGCACTTTTCAATATTTTCGGTTAGGCTAAAAATACATTTTTTTGGCCATTTATTTCGCACCTAACCATAAAGTTGGGCACTTTAATGGAAAGGCAAATGCAAACAAATAAAATATTTTTTTTTTTTTTAATATTGACTCGAGCACTAAAAGCGTTTTTGTAAACAGACATTCTTCCAGAGTCTAAACTATACCTACATATATACATATATATACATAGCATCAAATAAATGAGTCGAAAAGTCAATTAAAAAAGAAACCAAGAAAGAGAATTGAGCTCCTTTAAAGATTTGACCACCAAAATATTTGCGCTGAAATTAAGCTATGTAAACCATTAAAACTATAAGCCATCAAAATATTTTCGAGCACACACACACGCTCACTATTACCAGAATCATAAAAAGGCAATTAAAAGTCGCACTGTCAACTATTTTGATTTGTTTGAATTGCGGCATTTGCATATGTCTCGACTATATCTATATATCTACATATATCTATAAAGTATGATTCGCGACCGATTTTTACGTGCAGAATTTATTAAAATTAGTTTCGAAACATCTATTTATAGCTATGCATTTCATATGTTTGCCATTTGCTTTTGGGGGCGTATATATATAGATACATTTAACATCCCGAATGGATCCACGTCATAATAGAGAGAAAGAAAGAAATGTCTATTTCGATTATAATACAATTTTATACAAGCGAATCCAGTTGGCTTATGTAGCTTACATTTATGTTATTTTAAACAAGACTAATTATACGAAAATTTATTATTTTTTTATACTAATTCACAAAAGTGATTTTTTCTAATATATTAATATATCTTTAATCGAATCATTAAGTTTCCGATTAGAAAAGTAACTAACATAGTATAAAGTAAAAAAATAAATATAAAATAAAAAAAACAGCAATAGACACTTAAGCCAGCAGACAAAACCCATATACATAACTTTACTATTGACCAATAAAACATATGAGCTGATGCGTAGACTAGAGCTTCTGGAGCTTCTTCTCAAAGTCTAATCTAAATCTTAATTACCGATATATTACCTCAAGTTTAGCTCTGATCTAAAATAAAATTGCTCACACTACATATTATCTCAAATTTAACTCTTCTTTATCACTAAAATTCTCTTGATATCAAAAGACAGTTGACATGAAGAAAAAAAATTTGTAGGTATCATTATAATTTTCATTTGTTTATTTATCTAGTATTTTATACCAATGATCATTTTTTTATACTAAAAGAAAACCTGTCGCCTTTTACTTTTATTTTAAATTCCTTTATTTTTAATTTCAGCACAAAATCCCTTTTAAAAATAGATCTAAAATATATTTTATACATATATATGTACATCTGTGCACAGGCGAGTGCAATGAGAAAACCCAGAGAAACGAAACAAATGCTGAAAAACTTAGGGGAAAATGAAAAAATTGAAAAAAACTCTATTTTTAATCACTTTAGTGGCGTGACAAGACAAGTTCGACTATATTGAATACAAGACGAGAAACGGCTCAGAATGAAAATAGCCGGAAAAGCAGGGCGAATGAATCGACTAAATATAGCAGAGTCATACCCGATTCCCTAGATGATATTTTATACCAAACTTGAAGCATTTATATATTTGTATATATACAGACGATTAGCTCGTGCTCTTTCTTTTTGGCCGGCTTTGTTGGCTAACAAGACAATTGCAACAACAACAGCCATATAACAAAGAGCGAGGCAAATGCAATTTATAAATAACAAAATGTAGGCAGCATTTCCCCCGTGACATCAGCGCCAGCATCATTCGAACATGAAAACTCATTTTCACTCGCTGCCGTTGTCTCTCTAAACAGCTTTAATTGTACATCCATATGTACATACATACGTACATACATACATACATACCCATATACATCAATAGCAGACGTGCCATAGACAAGCTGCGTTTCAATGTAGAAAAAGTGATCTCATTGCCTTTGTACTTAGCTAGAGATATATAATGCACAGATATTTACACACATATATATACTTCTACTTAATACATATATTCAAGTCGTATAATCAACAAAAGGCTTTAATACTCGTAAACCTTGTCGACAGACAGCTAAGTGTGATCATCATTTTGCGTTTGACTTTGGTTTACAGATCACATTTACAACGTGGGTTTGAGTCGATTGCGTTAAAAATAATACAATCTATCAGCAAGATAAATTAGTTTAGCTCTTACTCAAATTTGAAATTAGCGTTCAGCTTTACAAGTTTCCAATGATGGATAAAGTGGAGTTATTTTATGTATTTAAGCAGAGATATAGCACTCAAGAAGTGTGAAAACTATTTTGAATTTTTCCTAAAATTTTTGGAAAAAATATATTAAATAAGTGAAAAATTGAGTTCTTCGTGAAAATTCCTTTCTTTATCTGAGCAGTGCTCTGTGAATAGGTATATTTTACCGGGGCATAGTGGAGAATTTGTAAAATGCATGGAGAAGAGTGATGTAGAAGAAATTTCGGCAAGCAAGGACTTTAGGCGATTATGTGGGAAATTTAAACTGATTTAACAGTAAAGTCTTAGACACACTTTGTTTATATTTTTAATGAACTTTTTGCACGCCAGGCACTTAATTAAAAGGAAATGTTCTAA